TGGATAAGCAAGCACTTTAATGTAAGTGATAGTAATTTCAATGATGTGTTTTCATTACTGCTTGTTCAGTCTATTCCAAATAAACCAACATACTAATTTGTTTTCACTCGTTACTATTGTTTGGTCAATATGACTTAGTTTGCATATTTCATAGTCAAAATAAGAGTCCGTAATTTTATTTATGGTTTTAGTTAATTTTTTGAAAGTTAGCGCAAGTTAGTTACCTCTTGATCATTGTCAAAATTGGAGCAAATGTAACAACCAAAGGCAGAATAGTAATCCTCAAAGCTCAGAGTAGAAAGGTAATATATGCACTCATCAAAAATAGATTTCATGCATTCATCTATTAAGAATTGTAGTGATTTATGTTTTGATCTAGAAAAATCCTAATTGAATTGCATCAAAGTGTTTTTGGAAACTACTACTTTCTAAATTTTCCAAGTATAGCTTACATGGCACTTTGATCAATTGAGAGACCAAACGAAAGGCCACTAGATAGGTGGATCAATCAAACTTCCTACAAAAGATGATTCCTTTTGAAATTAAAACTCTTGTCAATGAATAACTTATTTTTCCTGAATCCCTAAGATCTGAAACCCTAAGACAATAGAGAGAGATACACGGAGCATCATTGTGAGGCTAGAGTGCATACAATTTTTATTTTTCATTCATCATTCTGCATTAGAATTGGTGAGTGATATATGAGTGTTGGCATCTTACGACTGCTAAGCTGAATTGAAGTTCAACACCGACTTCCGAATCATCTAACATTGACTAAATCACTAGACTGGTAGATCAAAGTACTACTGAAGAAGTGATTACACGAGGAGCACAATTTGTTGATAGAGCAGACTGTATGTCTAGAGACTCAAGGAGTGATTTTGGTGGATCAGGCTGTGCTAAGATTTAGCTGGGGTTTTAGGTATACTGATCTGTTTGATAGTGCATTTGCTGACTGGACCAAGCCCCGTAATTTTTTTTCTTTCTTTGTGGTTTTCCACGTAAAAGATCTTGTTTTCATTGTGCTTGTTCTATGCTGCTTTGCTTTACATTGAGTATGATTGAATTTGTGGTTATTGGCATGATGGATTGATTGATTTTTGGAGTATTGCTTCAATTTAAATTTTAAACTATTGGTAGTTTGGTTACAATCCAAAAAGCAGTTAAAGTTAGTTAGATCATGGACCTTCCACATACTCTTTATCAGAACGTAGGGGTTTCGTCCATGTCTCATCAACTCCGATTGAGATAAAACCACTTCCTCAAGATAAAACACTCTCTTGAGATAGAATACCTTGTCTCATAAAAGTTGTGTAACGGATCTTGTAGGAAATATCCATGTTTTCTAAAAATGGGAAGGTTTTAAGATTTTGTCGTGAAATAGATAGGTGGTTCAGATGAAAACAAGGGCCCTGATTTCGTAGTGATTAGGCTGAAATGTTGGAGAAGTTTTTTTTATTTTTTTCGTTGAGTTATTGCAGCTTCCTCTGAAATGTTGGGCGGTTGCCAATGGTGTTGGAGAAATGACCAAGGTGATTTGAGGTGCATATGTGCGTGTCTTAAATGTGTAGACTTTACTTTTGCACATGTATGTCCACATTCGAACAACAAACTAGTTCCTGTATTGCATGCATTTTAACTGATTCCTTATGTAATCTTGATTTGTTGTTCTTGTTGTGCAAATATAGATACCATTTTACCTATGTACTATTTAATTAATCATGAAATGTGTATGTACAATTATCCCATGTTGAATTTGTTCCATTTTCGTGGAACGGTCTCATTGTATTCATCATTTGTGATTTTACAGGCCGTTGCAAGGAAATATGGTTGGAGCTGGCCGCCTGGCTGTGATGGGTTAAATCCACCAAAGATCTCTTAATTCTCCATCTTTGTTTTGATTCAAACTATTACCAGGCTATAGGCAGGAGCTATATGATTTGTTAGTTTTTCTCCCATCACTATTCCTTAACCACAGGCACTATTGCCTTGCTTTGTAAATAATTCCAGCCTAGGGATTGCCCTTTTCTTAATTATTTATTTATTTATTTATTCTGGTTTTACCATTGACATACTACTGAAAGGTGTGGACATTAATTCTGTTCTCTGATTGCATTTTTTTCCCGGCTTGACCGGGGACATGCTACCGAAATGTGTGGATAGGACTTCTGCACCTTTAATTTGTTGTACAGGGGAACTGTTCCTGTTTAATTGTCGGAAAAGAGATGCCATTGTTGGATAGATTTATACTTGGTAATTTTTATTGAGCGAAAACTGATTATGTGAAAGATCTAGTTAATGGTGGGTAGAAATTTTGCAGTGCTTGTGGAGCTATATTGAGAATTCAGTTTTTCTCTTGGGGAGTGTGTGTATTTACAATGTTGATGTAATGCAGATTAGCCCCACTCTTTGTCCAATTCATGTTGGTATGGTTTCTTCACTAAGCAGCTCATATCTAAGAGCAACAACTGAATCCTGCATTACACTCTTTTTCTTCCTTTTTAAGGGCAATTTGGAATGAAGTAATTCCTTGTAACTCATTGCATGTGTCCAAGTTTTTAAATTAAAAAATAAATTAAAATTTTAATACATATACGAAATTATCACTTGATTTGAAATTTTGAATGATGATGTAAAGTTATTTAGTTGTATTGGTAGTAATTGTTAGTCGTACTTGGGTCTCGAGTCTAATTTTCTACTTATATTAGTCAAAATTTCTATTTGGCCCTACATGTAACACTCATCCAAACAAGGCCTCGGCATAAATAGAACTCATTTATAAAGAAGATGAGATCCTTGCACCAACTACATTTCAATGATTATTTAGTCCTACTTTCTCTTTTGACATTACAATTAATTTTCTTAGCCCTAGTTGACATACTTAAAATTGAAATTGGATAGTGTTTTTATAGTACAGTCGAATTGGATAACAGAAAGAGGCTTTTTCTTTTTTCTTTTTCTTTTTTTTTATAAAAATCAAACTCATACTATGCACTACTCCCATTTAGATGTCATTACAGCACCGCTTACAAGCTTTTAGAGGACTTATATGTAGTGAGACAATATAATTTGGTTAATGATCTTCTAGCAACATTGAGCTAAACTTTCTCGTGTTTTGTACAATGCAAAATATTTTACTACTAATCTTCTAGGATGTAGGATGAATCTATTGTGGTTGTAAGCTTTAATGGAGGCTTCATCTTCTTAGTTCTTCGTCATAATTTGGACCTTACCATTATGGAAAAGCACTGTTAGAAATGGAAATGGAAGAAGAAAAAAATATTCTATATCATTAAGTGAAGTAAATGGTTGGGCTTCGCGTGACAATAAAGTTGTTTTACCGTGACCTGTGTAAGTTGCAGGTTCGAAATCGAGAACAATCAATATCTCATGCAAAGGTGATTTTTCAAACATGTAGGCAGTTACTTGTGAATATTTTAGAAGAGATTCGATATAGAGGGACAGAGTCCGGAAATCGTGTTAGGGGGGCAATAGTGTAACTTTTTAATAATTTTAGTGGGGGCAATAGTGTAATTTCATAGGTATACATATCAAAATAAATAAAATAGTAGGATATATTACTAAAAAAATAAAATCACTTGTACATGCATTGTGATTTACGCCAATAGCGAAAGTCCATCACAACATTGATATGAGTGGCATGTGTTACATTGAAAACCAGTATTCATGGAGGCATCAGTTATTTCAAGGTACATAACAATCCGATATCTAAATAGGACTTTGATAGAGAGTCAAGTCTCTTTCCAATTGTCCACTTGTTGGCCAACGTGCCCAACAAGTGAAGGTTATTTATCACTAACTCTCCTCAAATTTTATAATGACAAAAGTCTCATGCGTCGATCTAATCCCTTATCTAACAAATGGTGGGAATTGGATTGAGGCAAAGGAAAATCTAACAAATGTTTGAGAATTGAACTACACTAAAAAGAAGCTTTCCATAGATGAAAATTAAAAATCTCACAATTATTTGGGATGTAGCAATTCCTCTTATTTTCAAGAGTCTGAATGCAACCTGTAATAGAATTCTGCTTTCACTTAAAACCATGGATGGTGTTAGACATGATGAAGAGAATCAAATTAAATAGAGGAAGTTTGGTCCTCCTAAATGATCTTTGCAAAGCTTATGACATAATTTTTAGGAGTGCTCTTATGAAATGAGAGTTTTATTCTAAGTCTATGAATTGCATCTAAAACTTGTATTATTAGTCCCCATATTTTTCCATGGGGATGTCTATTAACTATTAAGCCCCAGCAATCAAGACCGTCCTTGGAGAATTTGAGTGCTGTATTAAGTGGTTTAAAGGCCAATTGTGACAGGTCAAATATTATAGATATGGCTAATAAAGTCTTTCATGTCCCCCTTTCACCTTCTTTGAGATTTGAAATGTGTGTTCAACCACACCTTTGACCCTACATATATATTTTTTCCTGCGAATGAATCAAATTTTAAAAAATGAAAATTTTATGACACTCTTGTACAAAATATAATATAATACATTATTATAATATATAAGAATTAGTGACTTTTAATTTACCCTATATATTATTTTGACAAATTATTTAAATACTCATTTTGTGTTTAATGAAACGTGGAACATCAACTTTCTATCTACTTTAGAATACAAAGAAAATACGACTAGGTTTAATGAATTCCAACTAAACCCTCCAACTAAACGTAGCTGTGTTTCCTAAATAAGGTAGCTATCTCTTTCTCTTTCAACATTAATTCAAAAAGAAAAAAATAAAAAATAAAACAAAAGAAAAAAGAAAAAAGAAAAACGTGACAACAGAGCTGTTGTCACATATTTTATGATAAAGATCATGAAAAACTTTCATTTGTATCATTTTTTAATATTAAATTATTGAAAAAAAAAAAAAAAACAAAGGGTTTTGTTTCTTTTTTTCATCAACATTTTTTTTTTGTGGTTTGGTTGAAGGTTTTGAACTTTTGGTAGTGGAGTTCTCTCTTCAGTCGCCATCTCATACGGTTGTCAAGAAGAGAAAGCGAGTATACAAATTTCTATATTTTAGAGAGTAGAGTTAGTCCCATCTAACTACCCCATTCCATCTCCTGTCAGAAATCTTAGCTCCTAATTGGCTTTCGCCATATAAGTGTGCAGATAAGCCCATCGTCTCTCTCTTCTCTCTCTCGAAATTCTGCAACCAAGGTAAGATTTTTCATCACCCTTTCTCCTCATTTCTTCAATTGGGTTTCCAGATTTCCTTTTCCTCTAAACTTTCAACTACTTTCTCGGGAAATTTAGATCGATTTCACGGTTTAATCTTTCTTTTACACGATAGTGTATGATTATATCATGTTCTGCTTTTCTTTGCTTATTTATTTATTTATAATGCTAATGAATTAATAATTTGGTTTGTTTAGTAGTTGATTTTGGCTGTGTGTTGGGTAATTGCCTGTTTCTAATTCTGTTGTATTGTTTTCTTTGGGTGCTGAGATTGTACTCTTCTTTGTATAGTTGTTTTTTGTAGTACATTCTAGCTTACCAAAAAAAAAAAAAATTGCTTTTTAAAGTTAATTTTTTGATGATTGCAATTGCCCTGTTTGCTAAGCTTGAATTCTTTGTCAAGACCTTAGTTTTTTTGGGTTGAATTTTTTTTTTTTGTTGAATTTATGGTTTGTGGTTTACTTATGTTGATTATGTGGGGACATTGTAGATTAGATTGTGGAATTGAAGTTTTATGGCTTCGACTTTAGTTAATGCGCCTTGTAATGTCCGAGCAATTAAGGGTCTGGAGTCTCGAGACTATGGTAGTTTGGGACCATCAGTTAGTAAAAGTTTTGTATGCGTTCGGCCCTCGATCAAGGGGCGTCCAAGGCGGCTTGTATCTGTTATAAGAGCAAGTGATGAATCCATCCGAAAAATGGGTTTGAGTGACGAAGAATGTGAAGCCGCCGTTGTGGCTGGGAATGCGCCAGAAGCACCTCCGGTTCCCCCCACACCGGCGGCACCAGCTGGAACTCCTTTAGTCCCTTTACTTGTGAGTACATATTGCAATTACTTTACATTTTCAAACTATTAATCATTAACTCTTTGTTTAGACTTTATACTTTATCATGTTACCTATATGTAGAAAGTACTTATTAGAAGATATGATGAATAGTGTCAATATTAATGATTCATTAGTGAAGTTTAGGAGAATACTTTTGTTGAATTAAGGCCAAACAAATTGTCCATGACAAAACTTTGTTGAATCAATGTCAAACTAGTGGAAGATGAATTTTGTAATGTCAATTCCTTGAGTCTTAATTACATTTGTAATATTTTTCTTTAATGTTACTAATGTTTTACTTGATTCAATATTGGCATGTTGGTTCATTTCAGCCACTTAATGGTCGTCCTCGTCGTAACCGGAAGTCACCAGCATTGAGAGCAGCATTCCAAGAAACAAGCTTGTCACCTGCTAATTTTGTATATCCACTTTTTATTCATGAAGGTTATATCCACTTTTTAATATTGTGGACCTTTCACTATAGTTCACTGTCTACCCTAAACTCCAAAAGATCACTCTCTAATCTGACTAGAAGTACAACTGTCAGTCTGCATGATATGTATGTCTAATCTGACTACAAATGCAGGACAAGAGGACACACCTATAGGTGCTATGCCTGGTTGTTACAGGCTTGGATGGAGACACGGACTTGTGGAAGAGGTCAGTAAGCTCAACCTAGTTCTATGTATGCTCCAAAAAGGTAATGGATTGCATTGAAGTTTCAAAGACCAATTATTTGTTACTGTGTCAGACAGATACATGGAAACGATACAAATGTATATTGGTGTCTAACCTACCAAATTATGGGTTCCACTTAAGGATTGTTTTCACTGAAAAATCTTATGATTTGATGATCTTAGATAATTGGTTCGAGGGCTTCTCTTTCCTATATGTCTTGAAAGGGATTTCTCCTTTCAAACTAATGTGTTATAATCATATGTTTCAAGTATACCTCAACTCAATACACCGTCGTTTCAAACTCAACTGTGTCGTTCCTTCTTTTATCTGACACCTTTAGCCTTTTGATTAGAGTAAGGGGTCACGAGAGAGCAGAGCGTACCACCCTGCCATTGTTGCGGGTCTGTTTATAGTTGAATTTTGTCATAATCGACAAGGTTGAACTTGAAGCTTACACGAAAAAGCTTTGAATTGGAGGTGATCCTCCCAGTGAACCGACCATACCCCAAACTGACATAGGTGAACAAGTAGAGAATACTAGGACGCTTGAGAGAACCATGTTGATGGAACTCAGTAAAATGAACTTGTAACTTAGGGAGAAGGGGTGCTCTCCTATTTTTTGATTAGGAAGTGGCACATACCAGGGATAGTGACTCTTTATGAAAAGTACAGGACTCTGCTATGTGGTAGTACGCTGTATCCTTTTTTGAAATTTGCCATTATATGTGCTCACAGTCTCAACTCGCGTTATTTTTAGCTTTCATTTCGTCTTTAAAGTGTTTTCCAGCAAACTTAATTTGTGTTTTATATTGAGTACAGAGTCGGACCAATGTACTATTAGTTCCTATACCGGCACTTTAGTTCCCTTGTACTATAAATTGTGTGCTTGTAGAGGTCTCAACAGTCAGATTCTGTACTCTCAGTTTTATAATATTTTTTAAATTATAAATTCACTTGACAAATTTGACATCCACAATATCTTTCTATACCAATGGATTTTTACCGTGCCGAAATGCTATCGGCAAGAATAATTTGAGTCATCTTATTTTGTGGGGAGTGGATTTCCTGTTACATGGATCACTATATATTTGGTTTACCAAACCTTGTGCATCTTTTCACCTTTCCTGTATAGGAATCTTTTCAATGGGTTGACACAACATTAAAATTTTCTCGCGTTGTAAGGTTCTGGTTGAGATTTGAGAGTATCTTGATTATGAATAACTTATTGAAGCTCCATTGTGCCATCAGCTATGTTAGCTGCTTTATCTACTGCATCTTATAACATATTTTAAGATATCATCTAGCTAGTCGTTAAAACATGTTCAAGTAAAGTGAATATAATTCTTATGAAAAATATGTATCTTGTTTTTTGTGTATAAAAACAGTATAGCATATAGTTTATAACATATATTCATGTTTTTTCATGCATTAATTGAAAGTAATTTATTTTGATGAATAATGGAACATTTTTTAAGTAAACAATATTTGATGCAGGTGTCTAAGGCCCGGGATGTTGGTGTTAACAGCATCGTGCTCTTCCCAAAAGTTCCTGATGCTTTAAAGGTTCATATTATCTCTATAAATTTCTTTCAATTCCATATATTGATATAATGTAATTGGTTCTTGCTCCTTCAGTCACCCACAGGAGATGAAGCATACAATGAAAATGGATTAGTGCCTCGAGCCATACGGTTGCTCAAAGACAAGTACCCCGATCTTGTAAGTTCATATACTTCATTCTTAATTTGTTCACTTGGGAGCTTATAGCTTTCAGGGGTGGAGTGCTTTCAGTGGGGAAGTTTGGTGATGCATTTGATGCTTTATTTTGTCCTTCATTAGGTAATCTACACTGATGTTGCTTTAGATCCATATTCCTCAGACGGGCATGATGGTATTGTCAGAGAGGATGGTAAGACACATCTTGTACTGATTCTCAAGGATTGGTTATGGGTTAAGCTGTTGTTACATTTTCTCTGATAACAAATTTCTGTGAGTATTTTTTAGGAGTTAGTCAAAACGAAAATACATTCAAACAGACAAAAAAATAACAATTCTTTTTGCTCAGGATTTTTCATTATGTTAGGTCCCTTTTTTAATGTTGCCGATGGTTACACATCCTCAATAAATTTGATCTGTTAGTCTTCTCATATGCTATTTCAGTGTCCAGAGAGATATATTCTCCTGTATACTACTCTATCTGTATACCTTGTAGTAAATATGACTGAAATGATATAATATCATCTCCAAGGATATCTGGATACACACGTTAGAATAGCACTTGAAAGAAACTATTTCAACTATTTGATTTTCTATGATTGATGACTCCCCATTCTATAAGTTCTGCAAGTTCTCTTTTAAAAAGTTATGAGAATGCAGAAGTTAAGAGTTTTCCTCATAATTAGGCTAGAAATTCTCATGCCTTAGAACTGCTCTCTGATCTCCTCACACTTAAATTCTTAGAACTTTAAAGAAATATTAATTGTTTAGTCAACAAGGATGCTTACTTTTAACATTAATACTTTGCATCAATAGAATCTGTTTCATCAGCATAGTTGAGGATTAAAGTGATGCTTAATCTGTAAACTGCTCAATATTATTATTATTATTTTTCAAATCACTTGCAAATTGAAGTAGAGGGATCTGGGCAGATTACTCATTGCCCCTGTTTGGTGAAAAATTGAAATACTATCCTGGTACTTTCTGGGATCTCATGGCTTTGCAATGGTTCATGAGGTTTATGGGTGCAATAAATCAATCAATATAGCATGTCTAAATGGATCTTCATTGCTGTATTTAGAAGTGTTACTAGATCAGTGTTTTTTTTTGGTTAGAAATGGAGGCTTACAAAAGATCAAAAAAGATTATCGAAGTTATTAAAATCTGAGGCTAAAGGAATTAATAAGTTGTTCTAGTATTCTTTAAATGAGAAGAAAGAGGAAGAAAAAAGACTTACAAAAATTTAATTCCAATAGAAAGTTAGGTGTTGTATGATTTTATCCTATGCGGACTTTCGTATTCTGTCCAAAATCACCAGAAATAGTCTAATGTTCTGGACATTAAAGGAGGAATGTTCTGGATATTAAAGGAGGTTTTCCAGCTAGCTCGGTATTGTACTTTATGGATTTCCTTTCAGGAAAACCCTCAAGGTGCAAATATTTAATTTAAATGAAGGGGAAACAATTTTCCAGATATGAGAGCACTAGTACCTTGCCAAATCTATTATAGCACAGTGGTAAAAGTGTTGGCATAATGTCTAAAAAATGAGTTCAGGTCAGAAGTTTGATTCTCATTGCCTGTCTTCAAATAATAGTAATAATAAAAGCAATCAAAAATGAACTTGTACAATGATCAGAAGATTTATATTCCTATCATAGCAGTACTCAAGTGACCAAGTATTTAGTAGTCATATAATCTTTGTGGGTTTGTTTCTATGTTGTAGCTGATATGTAGGTTCAGTCATCCTAACAGCAAACTGCATGAAGATGCAAGTATTTTGACAGCTTTTTTAAGAGATAATTTTGTCAAGTGTCTGGGTCACTCTTGCTGCTTCTTCTTCTTCTTCTTCACATTTTTTGGCCGTGGCTTCTTAGGATTGAAGGTCTTCTAAGTTGATCGGCTACTTCTTGAATAATTTGAGCTTCTCCAGACTAAATGTAGGGGTATAATTACTGATTGCATTTCATGTCTCTGATACATTGTAGGAGTTATAATGAATGACGAGACTGTGCATCAGTTATGTAAGCAGGCTGTGGCCCAGGTCAGATCTTCTACTATACAAATATTACATAATTTTTTCAGCATATGTATAAAATTCCTTTAAGAAGTCGTGGCGCTAAAACTTCTATTTTAATTTTTAACATTGATTAGTATTTGAAAGGGGAATGGTGTTTTCAACAGTAACTCTAACTTCCATAGGAGATGAGTGATACCAATATTTTATCCTTACATTTTTGTTTCTTACATTTACATTTATTAAACACTTTGCCATGATCTGACCAATTTTATGATTGTTAATTGCTTAATTTTCACTTCCATATGTAGGCTCGAGCGGGAGCAGATGTTGTTAGTCCCAGTGACATGATGGATGGTCGTGTTGGAGCAATTCGAGCAGCTCTTGATGCTGAAGGTTTTCAGCATGTGTCTATCATGTCATATACAGCGAAGTAATTTGCTTATTTGAACTAAAATTCTTTCAATCACCTTCTGCTTCATGCTAGCACTTTTTTTTTTTATCTACATTAGGAATATTTCATCTCCCACATCTGACATCCCCATGCATAGCTATTAAAAAAATCTAATTTCCTTATAGAAATTTCTTTTATATATTTATAGCTTATATCTCTAATCTTGTCTAAGAATTTCTATTATCTCACATCTTTAATGCTTCGTATGGTAAGAGGGATGGAAAAAGGAGGGAATATGCACCTGAGTAAGAGAGGGTGCCCTTCCGTCCTTTTGTTTGGTTGAATGGAAGGGACTGAAGAGGTGATATTATTATTTTACCATTATATCCTTAATCATTTAAACTAATACACTTGAATGAGGGTGATATAGTCTTTTTATTATTATTTTATCCCATGAATATTTCTCTCATTTTCCTTGCACTTTTAGAAGGAAGCAAAATGGTATTCCTGAACTCCGAGGGATACTTAATCCTTCCTCCATCCTTCTTTTCTTCCTCTTCTTCTACCAAACAATGGAAGCTTGCTTCAGTTAGCAATCAACGTGTACATCGTATTGTAGTACTTGAAGAATGGAGACACTAGTCTTTTTGGTGGACTTAATAAAAACTCTAGTCATCATTGATTTTTATTTTTCTTTCTTGATATAGAGGTGACTACGTCCTGGCAGGCTAGGTCTTATGTTTAGGCCCATGAGGCAGGCTGGATCAAATTTTCTTAATTTAAGGGTTTGGTCGCCCTAGAAATACATAAATTCTATTTTTTATTTACCTTTATAGGTTCAAGTCCAGGGTCAACGAGTTTATTTTGGGTCTCATTCTTTGCTGATTAATTTAGGCCTGAGGTTAGGCAGGGCCGGCATCTCATCTTTGTTCAAAATTGCCTACTGGAGTCAGACATAATATGTCCATTCTAACCAAACATCCCCGTGTACTCTAATGTTGTGTTTTGTGGTTAGGGCTCAAAAAGTGTGTCATCTGTGGAGAACACCACTGTATGAGATCTGTGCCTTGAAAAATGCATTCCTTCAGTCTGTGTTACATTGGCACTTTAAAATGTGTTTAGACACGACAATACATAGACATGGATACGGGATGTGTCCTACACAATAATCGTAGAAAACATGGAGCCAATTTTCCAATTCAACAGAAGTTCATTATTTTTTTTTTAAATTTTTTTTGTTGTTGTTGTCGGTTGTTCTTTTTAAAAATAAAGAGATTAACTGATGTACCTTGGTGGTGTTGTGTTATCTGTACACATATTTTTACCTTATGGTATAGAAGAAAAAAAGTTGGATACTTTAACTATTAAGAAATGGTGCATTTTCATTTTCATGGGATGCCCAAATATCCTCCGATTTTACATATTGTCACACTTTAACATGGACTCTGTAAGTAGACTTGGTGAGTTTTATTGTTTGACGGGCTATTTGTGCATCTAGCTTCTCTTTGACCAACAATTCTGACCGTGCAGAAGGTTTTGATAATTCAACTCTTTTGGATAGCTCTGATCATTTTTTTTTTTTCCTAAATGAAGGATTTTATATATATATATATGAACAATATAGTACAAAGACAAATAAGGGATATATGTATATGATCAATTTGATTGTAGTTTATAACTACGTCAGTGCAGTTCCATGTTATTTTCTGTTTTTTTTTTTACTTAAATTTGCATTTTTATTTTGCTGACAGGTATGCCAGCTCATTTTATGGTCCATTTCGTGAAGCATTAGATTCAAATCCACGTTTTGGGGACAAGAAAACGTATGTAACCCATCATAGTTAATGGATAAATCCTATAATTGATCAATTTTCCCAGTAGATGTATATTAAATATTGCAGGAGCTAACCTTTGCATGTCAATTTGGCTTGTGAACAAAAGTTATCAGATGAACCCAGCAAATTATAGGGAGGCTCTTATTGAGACCCGTGCAGATGAATCTGAAGGAGCAGATATCCTTCTGGTTGGTGTTCCTTTTCTGTGAACTTCAGTCGCACCCTTAGTGGCAGGACCTTCTGTTTCACTGAAATTACTTTACTTGTGACACAGGTGAAACCAGGTCTTCCCTACTTAGATATTATAAGGCTTCTTCGGGATAACTCTCCTTTGCCAATTGCTGCATATCAGGTACCCTAAATAATTTCTGTTTTGCTTTCCAATGCCATACATATGATCCTTTTTTTTTATATATAAAAAAAATCATCTTCTCATTCTCGAGTAGATATATCTCCCTTTAGTCATTTCTTCTATCAAGCGTCAAAAACATCATTTAGTTTATGTACAATTGAATACTGATCTAATCCTGGAACTCAGTCATAAATTCAGTCAATGCTTTCAACTAACGATAGGTAGAAATAGAATCGTACTCACCATCAGCAAAGAAAGTTTGAAAGGTTAAGATATAAAAAAATTCTAATTGTGGGTCAATCATGGTGAGCCACCAGCTAAATGTTTCCTCAGAAATTCTAGTTTCATAAACAGCAATATGCTGATCTCAGGATATAAATATGCAGCTAGCTTATTGGTTAGGACCCTCAGCTGTTTGCATGATGATGAAAAAATGATCTTCAGGACCTCATGCTTTTTACAACCAAAATTAGAATAAAAAGAAAAATGCAAGGAAGGAAGAAATAAAGAGATTTCAAATTAAGACTTTTGAAAAATAATGAATAGTTGTTTTTGACAATTAACTATTAAATGCTAAATCTGGACTGTAAACTCATATTTTATAGATATAAAATGCTTTTACACAGGTAGCCACATTCCATGCAAAAAAGATCGAGGAAAATGTTTAGAATATATCTGGTACTCGTGGCAGATAACTACTAACACATGATGTAGAACTGTTGCTGTGAGATAAGGGTATATTGTGTAGCCTGTCTAAAATTTTAAGCTCACCCTATCTTAGGGATGAAATGGAGCTTATCTAAAGCTGATTCATGTAAATCCGAGTCCAAATCTATATTTTAGTATCAGGACCCATATTCAGAATTTCAGATCTGAATCAAAGCAAATATACCATGACATGATCCATGTCTGACCCAGATAAGATCCTTGTAAAGTGAAAGATGCTTGATTTGTGTTGGATCCTGGACTAAACCCAGTCAATTTCATTCTTACTCATGATGGGTACTTCAAATATCCATACCCAACCCATATTGAAATTTATATTCAAAATTAAGATCAAAATTGGTTAAAATTGATTTCAGATCAGCACTTGGTTAAATTAATTATTTCTTAAAAAACAAAATCTGTTTCCAACCCCAAATCATGTAAAAGGAGTACCTAGCAATTCCAACTCCCATGTTAAACCCATCCATGCATATAGCACTCAAGGGTTCCCTCTTTTATTCGATGAGGCTTTGATGAGTCAAGCTTGCTTTGATTTGCCATTGGAAGTGTAACTTGTTTGACGTCAGTGTACCGTCGTTTGCTTGGACAGCCACCTTGGATGGCGTACTCACTGTTGACAATCTGATCAATTTACAATCCGAAGAGAATAGGCTATAGATGGCTAACTAGTGTTGCATGTGTAAAAGGGTGGAGACTGATTGTCTATTAATTCATTGTGTTGTGTCGAAGGAGCTATGTAGTCTTCTTTCTGTATTTGGTGTTCACTATCTTATACAGGACAATTAGGGGTCTGCTACTGGATAATTGTCTCTTATGGTGCATGTCGTTCAAAAGGAATGATAGAATTTTTTTTGAGCTTCCTCTGTTTAGATTAAAGAAATTTTGTTGAGGACTTAATTTACTTGTAGATTTTGAGCAATACAAGTTTCTTGTCTTCATTTTTTGTACAGTTTTATACCGCTCATATAGATGGGTTGGGCATCCATGAATGCGCTTCTCATGTTATTTTTATTAATAAAAATTAAATGGGTAAAATATATTATTTGGCTACCTGCCTGGGAAATTAGTGTCACACAGTGTAAAACATAAAGAGACGATTAAAAAAAAAAAAAAAAAGCACCTAAAATTAATAGTCTTTAGACTTATTTACAAATAGAGAAAACAAATTGTAAGCTCAGCTGAATCTAGTCCGTCAGCTCTTACCAAAGGGGCAGAGAATTTAGTCTCCGAGGACATCCTTTTCGAATAACTTTGCTTCTTATGGTAGCTCTTGCTTTTGAATCTCTTTTTCCATTCTCACCGCACTTCAATATGATTTTTGTTCACTGGCGTCCGAGTTAGTTTCATTTTCCTAATTGTTTTCTTGGATCCAGGTTTCTGGTGAATACTCAATGATCAAGGCCGGTGGAGTTCTTAAAATGATTGATGAAGAGAAGGTCATGATGGAGTCACTGATGTGTCTCCGACGGGCAGGTGCTGACATCATCCTCACATACTTTGCTCTGCAAGCTGCTAGATGTTTATGTGGTGAGAAGAGGTAACATTAAACCGATAGAATGGGGATTGTGCTAGATGTGTAGGACCTTATCAATTTCAGATAAATAAGCAAATTGTTGCATAGTTTGTGCTTAAATTAAATATGTTTTGTTCTATGAGAAACTGAAAGACTAGACGTGAGTGAGTTCGGCCTTCGGGTGCTAAACCTGACTGGGCTGCATGTATATCTTTGAATGTATGTAGTTGAGTTCGTTGTTTGTTTCAGTGTTGTCATTATAATCGTGAGAGTTTTATTACTACCATTAGTAGTGTTGTTATCTGGATATTACTCTTTATGATGAATTTGGACATTCAGCTTCATCATTTCTCTTATTGAAATCACAAAAAAGTTTTACGGAGATTTCTGGCCTTGCCTGGTTCACTTATCTATGATAGCTTTATTATCTCAAAAAACAGTTGAATTTGTTCACTTGACAATTTTTTGCAATTTTGAGTTTTTCTTTCAAACTTCAAATGCCATCATCATAGTTGTTTTCTTTTAAAGGTCTCATAATGGTTTTTTTGTCCTCTATGAGAATTGAGCTGAGCAGATCCAAAACAAACACAGTTGAATTAGGGTGAAAATTTTAGAAGTAAAGTGAGAAAAATAAAACTAAAAATAAAAATCTTTGAAGTAGAAAATCATATTCTTTTTCACTTAAAACTAGGGTGACAAAATGGGTTAGAACTTATCTATCCGCCCATATCGATCCACTTTTAAATGGATATGGATGAATCATATTCAAATATGAGTTAAACATGGGTGAATCATATTCAGATTGATAGGATATGGGTGTACCAATCTCACCTCCACCTCTCTCTAAATTTCTCTTTCCCATCCTGGCTCTCAAATTCTTTGACGATCCATTCTCTCTCGAAGATTCTCTCACCGTCTCTCATCCTGTGCTCGAGACTTAAAAATTCTTTATGTGTCATTTTTTGTGGAGCACATTGTCAATTGCCAATATGATAAATTTTGTGCTATCTCATTTTCAATAGTTGCACAGTACATATTACTCACAAATATATATATATATATATATATATATAATCAGACATATATATATATGATTATGTCTTTCCTCCATCCCAACCCAACTCAACAACAAGAGAACTCAAAGCAAAACTTCAAACCCCTACCAAAAATTTTCAAAACAAGAAACACAAAAGTTATTCCATGTGAATTTGTAACTTTGAGGCCAGGTCTCATTAATTTTAAACAATAAAAGATTTGATAGTGATATAAATTAATATCTAACGAGTATATCTATGCATATTTATGAAAGGACGCATATATGCTGCCAAAAAAACAAAAAAAGCGGTCACTGCAACTTTCAGGATGAAATTTGGATCTTTATAAATGGGTCGGATATTTAGTAAACAGGTCGGTTATGTTTCAACCGGGTTGTGCCATAGGCAACGGACCGTACTTCTAATTTTGCAACTTTCAATTTCAATTTCCATTTTCATAAAATTAATAATTTCCCCATGGAGAATTTTAAGATCCAAATCAAATCTTTGTAAACGGGTTAGGTCCTTGTGCCAATTTTGCTACTTTTAGCTTTTTGTTTCAAATTTCATAAAATTTGTTTTTAAAAAGGATTCTAGAATTAGTCCAGATTAATTGAACAATATGTAGGTACTCACTAGTGAAATTTATTCGCTATACAAATAAGTTTGAGAAAATTATTTAAGAATTATATATTTTCCTGATATCTTCTTCTAGTGTTACATAATGTTAGGGCAAAAATTGCGACTTTCTTTTACCCAACTTAATAAACACGGCATATAATGAAGACAAATATCGTGTTTATTAAATTTTGAGTCTTCATTTCATGCCGTGTTTATTAATCTTTGATAGATGGTTACTTATACCCAACTTAATAAAGACGGCACGAAATGAAGACGGACCTTTGATTTTGCATCCATTCCATGTATGTATTGGACCACTTCACTTGCATTGGTTGGATGCAAAAATTTAGGAGTAGGCCTTCTTTATCATTTTTTTTAAAATTTATTTAAGACAATTTCCATCTTTTTCATCTCTCTAAACTTGAGGAAGAACAAAGAGATGGGTTAGATGGGAAACCTTGAAACTTTCCTAAGACCCTAAAGTTATTGGAGAATTTTTAGAATGCAGATAGCCCATTTACGAATGAGTTGTTGTCCTCGTTAAATACTGTCCGTGAAAACGAAGAGTCGATAATGTAGAAATTGGTAGCTAAGAAGAAAAAGCTTGATAAGAAGAGGAAGTCATTGAGGACTTGGAATATACGAGTAGTATCTAATGTAATTTTAAAAGTAAAGTAAAAATGGGTCAAATTTTAGAAGTAAAGTAAAAAACAAAAAAAATAAATAAAAATCTTTGAAGTAGAAAATTATTTTTTTTTTTCACTTAAAACTAGAGGTGGTAAAATGAGTTGGAACCAATCTATTCATCCATAGACCCACTTTTAAATAAATATAAGTGAACCATATTCAAATAGGAGTTTGAATAAATTACATTCAACCCATATTTATAAATGAATAAATGAACTCATACTCATTATATATAGGAGTCATGTTCAACTCACCTTTGTGTACTGATCTCACCTCCATCTCTCTCTCTCCCTCTCTCTCTCTCTCAAATTCTGTCCCTCATCCTCTCTCTCTCTCTCTCTCTCTCTAAAAAGTTTCTCTCTAAAATTCTTTGAGAATCACTTCTCTCTCTAAGATTCTCTCACCATCTCTCTCTAAAGTGTTTTTATGCGTCATTTTTTGTGGAGCACATTGCCAATTGCCAATATGAGAAATTTTGTGCTATGTTATTTTCAATAGTTGCATGGTACATATTAATTGTGACCTAGATCTAGGACGAATAGTTGATTTAAGAAACTATCATTTTAAAAATTTGTCATTAATTACAATTGAAGTAAAATGACTATTATAGACAGTTTATTAAAGGAAAAAAAAAATATATGTTTTCTTAATCTGGATTAACCGTGAATTGCAACGAGAAAAAAGAAAATTCCATAGACTCTAAACTCTGCAAACTATGATATTAAATCAAACACCATACAAAAAATAATAATAGTAATAATAATAACAAATAAAGATATAAATGGATGCTATCAGTTAACATTCCAGAACATCAAATTTTACGCCCACTTTAATCTGCAATTGATAAAGTAGGAATCAATCCTCAAGTTTGCTAGAATTAGGCCAGATTAAAAGTGGATTTTACCATGCTGATGCCTCTCTCTTTTTTTTTTGGCTTCCAAAGGCTTGGCAGGAGGCGGAATCATTTTTAGAGACAATAATGGGTCCATTTTAAAGTTGGTGATTCTTAAGCAGTTTCTCGCGACAACACTGTTTATGGCGGACGATTGAGTGTTGCGGGTAATGGGCTCAACGGTTCAACTTTCATAGAGTATGATTTGAAAGTGACTCTCGTGTTGTGTGTGACGTGGTTAATGGTAAACATACTTGTCCTTCTGATATTTCATCCATTATTTTCGATATTAAGTTTGTCTTCCAATGCTTTTCGGAAGTGAAATTATCTTACGTTAGAAAGGCAGGGAATCATTTGGCTCATAAAGCCGCTACGCTTTCAACGTCTCTTTTACCTGGGGATCAAGTTTTGCAAGAGCTTTCGGTTCATTTGTTTCAGTTGGCAACTTTAGGCATCTCTTTGTTTTCTCTATAGTGTGTCGTGGTGGTCTGTTTTCTTGCCTTGTAAAAAAAAAGAAAAAAAAAAAAAAACAAAAAAAACAAAACATTGTCTTTTACACATCAAATCCTGAATACAACCTTCTTTGAGAGAAATATATATTGAAAAAGAATTTTCGAAAAAGTAGATTTTAAATTAAAAACGGGTTATTAGGTCTCACGGGTTGAACCAACCCATATTTGACTTATTAGAAAAGAGTTAAATAGGGGCCACACAACTCACATTTGACCAAATTCAAATTCGATCCAATCCGCCCGTTTGCCACCCTTACTTGAAACTGTCCGAAAAAAAAAAAAAAAAAGGATTGTAAATTTAATTAAAGTAGTGATACTCACGCTGAATACTCACACCGAAAACTTGCAGTGAATTCTATTTTTCTCATTTCAGAATTTCAGTTAACGACAAATGCAATCGTAGATAGGTGAACTAATTTTTCCTTGTTTGGCAAATCAATTTTATTTTTATTTTTTATTTTATTATCAAATAAGTAAGCTCACACCTTTTTTAATTTTTATTTTATAACTTACAAAAAAACACTTATTTTATAAGTTGACAAAAAACACACTTAGAGCATTCCATTTGTCAACAGTAAATACAGATCTCAAAAAAAAAAAAAAAGAAAAAAAAAAGATGATACATCATAAATAATAAAATATAACATATTATTATATATATGTAAGTGATAATTTTTATTTTTATTTTTATAATTTTATCTTAGAAATAAATGAAAGAAATTACTAATTTGGGTCTTGTTATTTTTGTTTTCTTAAGTTTTATTTTATTTTTCTAATCAACTTGAAAAATATTTGGAATTGCATTTTTTTCCATAAATTTAAAATAAAAATAATTCCAAAATTATAATTGTCCAAAACGTGTCTTTGTTTTGTCTAATTAAATAATAAAATATTTAATTTTCAATATTTTTTTTATTTGTTTTACCATGTTCTTGTCTTCGACACATGTCTGATACTCGGACAAAAGTGTTTTTGCTTCCTAAGTAGGAAATCAAACTTTGTTCGAGTAATCATCTAAGTTAACTTGCATTTTACGGTTTTACCCTGTAGAAGCAAGAATAAAAGAATCAATTCCGTTCATTGATTTATTGATCCCTAGCTGCAATATCACTAATGGTGAGTGAATATATGCGTGTTGAATTTACCTTTTCCCTTTTGTTTAGTTTTAGTTCAGTGGCATTTCATAACTTTTAAAAGTATAAGGTTTAGAGAGGAAAAAAAAAAAAAAAAGAAAATTTTATGAGCAAGAAAATAATTCATGGCTTTTATCGTTTTTACCTTGACTTGCTAGGTAAATTAAGATTTTATGAGCAAAAAACTACTATGACTTTGTTGCATGCACTTGTGTATATGGGCTTATTTGGCATAACTTTTGTTTTTGTTTTTACGCAAAAAAAAAAAAAAAAAAACGAGAAGTAGAAGTAATCACTTCCATTTAACTTATAAGTTAATGTTTGAAAATTGTACTTTCAAAGAGTTTAAAATTAAAAGAGTTTTTTTTTGTTTATTTGGCAAACGATTTGCTGAAACTCTTCGACTATTGAAATAACTATTTTACCAACTTCTTCAAAATACAGTATTCTAAATTCCAAAGCTATTCCAAAAAAACATGTAAAATAATATTTAAAATAGCTTTTAATCCACAAAAACTAAAAACAAAGTTTCACCTTAATATATGTACATATATTATATTTATTTTATTGACGTGGTGAATCATTTTGAAATTGAATTAAATTTTCAACTTTAACTCAATGGTAACCGTTGCAAGTTCTTTAATTTTTGAAAGTCGTGCACACACCCATTTTCATGTTGCTTGTATTTACCGAATCTAGACATAAAAAAAGAAGGGAATTTTACATAAAAGTGGTAGTAACTTAAGTATATTACCAATCCATGAACGTAGTTTGCATATTTACAAATATATGAACCAATTTTTAGTTGAACCCTTTTTATAAACGGAATTTATATTTTGGCTTCTAAAGTTTATTTTATGCACAACCTACCCAAAGAAACACTTGTACAAGTTCTAGAATTTTGTCAAATAGTGCTTAATAATTGTTGCATTGTACAAGAATTAGGAAATATAACGCGTAGCCTACAACGAAGAATATAAGAACTTAGATATAGAATTATCAGAATACAAAATATTTTACAAGTTAAACGACAACGATTTTAGTTTATGAGTAGAATAGACTTATTTATATATAAGATCTTTTGTCTAAAGAAGTCTCTAAGTCCATATAAATTTATTGTAAAATTTTACTTTATTGTGAAAAAACTAAAAATATTTCATATTAAATAGTTGTTCAATGATTTTTTTGCGAGTTTATTTTCAACTCTAAGGATAACATAACTTAAAAGTATTGCTGGGGTCTTCAATTATAATATAATTTGTTGAATGGTATAAAACAAAATATAGTTCATTTTAGAGAAATATTTTGGTGGTCCATCCAATTATTGAAACTTCAAGACCTTGTCCTTATTATATTGTAGTATTTGAACCTTAATCCCATGTATTGATAAAAATTTTTTAAAAAAATTCATATAAAAATGTCCCAAAATAAAATTATACTAACTAGTCAAAAGTGACCGTTCAATTTGGTCAAAAATGATCACACAAAAATAAAATATGCTAAGTAAAAGTTAGAATAAATCACATAATTTACTTAAATAAATTATAATACAAAAATTTAATAATATAATCTTTTTTTTTTTTTTTTTTTTTTTTTTTTAAGTTGTACAAGCAAAGTTAAAAAATTAAACTCACGGGTGTACCTCATTATAATTTTCTTTTTACTTTCTCTCATTAATTCTTCTCAAAAATAAATAATTCATTTCTTATTATTTGACTTAATTATTAAGCTAGTTCTTTTCACAAATAAGAATCCACGAGATAAAATAACCAAATTTCTTTCGTGATCTTTGACATCTTCCCTCATTATTTTAGGAAAAAATATATTATATATATTATTGTGTCATTTCATTTGAGAAAAAAAAAAAAAAAAATTACAGTAGGGTATAACCGTATAAAATAATTGACTATGAAATGCACGGAAATGCACACCACTACATGATTGGACCCACAGTTCAGTTCTATTATGTGGGCCCATTTCAGATGATTCGTTCATTCCACAGTCAAGTCGGTGTTCGGTAAACGGGTTATTACAAGCCCTGCCGATGGAAGGAAGGAAAGAAAGGGTTATGACAGAAGTTGCACATTTTCCCACTCTTTCGTTTTTTCATCGAAAAATTCAGGAAAATCAGAGAAAATAGGATTCGCTTTTCTCAGAGAAAGAGATCCATCCCGACCCCTCATGACTTCAGGTACGCCCCCAAATTCTAAAAACTTCCGTCAATTTCACGGAAACAATCAATTTCTTTAGTTGCAGACCTCTGTTTCAATGCAAATTTCATATAATTATGGTTTCTTTACACACTCCCATCAATTGTTTCCACCAATTTCGGTCTATTAATCTAATTTCACCACCTGGGTATCGATCGATTATGAATATTTTCCATGATTTGTACTGGGTTTTCAAATTTTTTTAGAAGTTTAATGTTTAATTTTTGCAAATTATCCAGCTTACTCTGGAAAATTTCCATTGATTTCCGATACTATTTTACGTGATTTGGGCTGATTTATTCTCATGTTCTCCTTCTTTCTTGTAGATTATGCGTTGAAAATTGTTGCAGAGCTCGAGTCGGCTTCACGGTTGAGGACCGCACAATTCTTAATTACACAGAGGCCATGGCTTGGTAATGCCCCAATGCTATGCCATTTTTCTTTCACTTATTTGGTCGTAACCCAATGTTCCTTTTTGTGGTCCTTCTATTTTTCTGATTACAGTTTTTCGTGTATGTTAGGTTAATAGATGTGAATTCATCTTCCAGAAAGTAGAAGTTTGTGATTATTCATGGTTTTTTTGGGTTTTTATATCAGATCTCTATGGAGTTAATATCAGGCCTGTTGCTCCATTTGGGAGTGCAAGTAGTAAACCATTTGTTGATACAGCTCTACTACACCGGTCCTTGCCCGATGAGCTACTTTTTGAGGTATTTCTATATTTTTAATCACATTTAACTTGGTTGTACTAGTGCAAAGAGATAACAAACTTGGCTGAGTTGCTACTTCTTGATTTCATTTCAATCTGTTCATCTTACATTACTGTATTATACATTATGATTTTTTATTTATACTTAAAATGTAGGACAAGCTCAATATGACTGAGTTCTAAAATCTGACATATTCTCAGTAGTTCTCTCCACTTCAGTTCTCTATGAGGTGAACAGTGAGTTGTATTCCCATTTACCAAGCAAGCTGCATGATTTTTTTAAGAGGAAAGGACCCCTCCTTCCTTCTTATAAATATTAGGCACTGTGATCTGGCAATCGGAGTTGCCAACTGGTAGTAAAAACTAAAATTTTCCCAGGTATCTTTCTTTGAAATGGAATGGAAATGGGAACTGGTATGAGCTTATGTGATGTGTCTACCTTTGAGCTACATAACAAGATACATGAAAATCATTTTTTTTTTAAAAATGTAGAAAAATATACTCAACTATTAAATAATAACTAACTAACTTCTATTAATAAGTTTGGTTTTTGAGAGGAGCGGGGAAGGTAGGGAAGAAGGAATCACTGCAGTGATGTAAAATTTAGAACAAGAAATTTGTTCAGGAGACATACCTTTCTACTTTTTCAGCAAAGAAAACAAGTTCAGTTTGGACACATAATTGACGATAATAGCACCTGGTTACGGTAGATATTGATGATGGGGGTTGATCAAATTGCTGAGCTAGATTTTCAATATAAATTTCTCCCTGGGTTTCAAATTATAGCGCATGTTCTTATGAATGAAAATATAAATTTATTGTTCTAGTAATATTTTGTGCAAATAAACAACCATCTTCCTCTGTCGGTTCCATCGTAATAATTTGTTCTCTATTCACATCATTAAGATTCTTCACAATGCCATGCTTTCATTGGATGATAAAATCGTTTGATCTAAGGGTTCCCTCTGCATATTAAGGAATCATGGACCTCTCACTGAGAAATTGATTGGTTAGTAACAAAACAGATGTTCTGGATGGCTATAGGGCCAAAAAGATTCCAAGTGGTTGCACTTTGAGATTTTGTTGACTAGAGTTTGCAGGTCTTCTACATTAAGGATGTAAACCTCTTTGCTTGATTGAATGTAGAAAATGATAAAAATATCTTGGATCTAACACCAAGTAGTTTGGGTAAAAGCTTTGTTGAATTAATATGAGTTGAGTCCCACTTATAGTTAAGAAGATCTGAAGATTACAGTTCTTTGTTACTTTTCGTTTCCTTTTTCTTCTATATTAGGATATCCCTAGTTTGACTCCTTTAGCCATCAAACTGATTAATAGAAATTTAAGTTGGTGACATTGAAATGTGCAGATCACTCCATTAACTACACAAATTTCCTCTGCTTTAAGCAATAACAAATCTTCAATTTCAAGACCTACATAAAATCCAAACAGAAAACACACAGAAAAAAATTAAACCCTCAGTTGCCATTTGCTTCGAGATTAGATTTTGCCTAGTTGAACTCCAAAACTAGCTAAACTGATAAACAGAAAATTACGTTCAATTTTTAAAAACATCAACAATCATTAATGAAATAAGCTTAAGAAGAAGAACTAATTGTAGATGTAGTTAAAAGAAGAAAAAAAGAAAAAAGAAAAAGAAGAAGAAGAAGAACAATTCAGTGAAGAAAAACATGTAGATCACAGATCTACAACTCAGTGAAGAATAGAAAGTGTGAGAAACGAGAAAGTGAGAGACCACAAACCCAAAGAGTTTGCGCTGGAGGAAAGAGAGAATGGTGTCTTCTCGCTGGTGGAGGAGCTCGTGGTGGACGGTGGAGGAGATCACTCGCTGGTGGAGAGAGATTGAGAAAATGGACAATGGTTATTAGGGTTTATGAAGGAAATTGTGGTGTTGTTTGGCACAAAAGAGCAAAAGGGTAGCTACAGTATATTTTAGTTACCACTACAGTGCAAGAACTCACGCATCCGCTATTCACTAAACATAAAGTTATAAACACCCTTTTGGTATTCAATAAAAAAATGCCTTCGGCTACAATGTTTGTTTGTAAACAAAACAAATATTAACAAACGCGGTCCTCTAGATTTGTTTAAATAAACAATAAACACTAAACATAAACAGTTAACAAACGGGACCTAAGTAATTTTTCGTTACGCACAGATCTTCGTGAGAATGACTCCATATACCATGGGAAGGGCAGCTTGTGTTTGTCGGAAATGGAGATATACAATTCGTAATCCCGTGTTCTGGCGCAATGCATGCCTAAAGGCTTGGCAGGTAGATTTAGCATTTCTATTAACATTTTTTTTCATTATATTTGCATGAAAGTTAGTCATTCCTAAATTTTTTGACACTTTTTATTTTTATTTTTTGGTGAAGCTCTCTGGGGTGGTGGAAAATTATAAAATCTTGCAGTCAAAATTTGATGGTTCATGGAGGAAAATGTGGCTTTCAAGACCGAGGGTCCGCACTGATGGTAAGACATACCTTTTTTCGAACTTTCTAGTTTGTGTCATACATATTTGTGCTTTGTTTACATGCAACTTACTAATGTGATTTTTTCTTCTTCTTCCTCCCATTCGATGTTGCTTTGATTATCTTCCCTTGAAAACTTCTTTTCCTAAGTGTTACATTTACCCCAAAAATGAATATATATATATATATATATTCCCTCTTTTTTTTTCTTCCCTTTCTCTCTCTCTCTGATATACATCTGCGAGCTTGTTTTAATCATGTTCCATCTTTTAGTACATCATTTTTATCATTCTACCTTCTATTAATTTATGAGTATAGTTTTGACCATGTTCCGTGGATGTGTAAGCCATATTTTCTGTGTGTAAGGACCTGGTGTATCCTGGAAGCTTAAAGTCTTATGTTTTAGGAGTGTTCTTTCCATTCCAAAGAAAAAGGGGAGAGGAAAGGAGGTGACCACGTTCCTCTCAAGGGGTACCTTTGCCTTTTTATTATAAAATTGAATTAGTATGATTGCTTATTGCTTCATGACCAAAATCAGAGTGCATCCAACATTAGTTTGATGCCTGAATTGCCAAATGCATGTGTTTTAAAATGCGAAAAATTTCAGTTTCATGGTTATGTAGAGTGTAGCCTCAGCACCAAACTTGGACTTCATGATTCTAGGAATTTATTTTCAGGTGTCTTCGAGTCTATGTTTGTCTTGGATGACTGGTACTGAGTCTTCCTTTCCTTCATCAGGTCTTTATGTCAGTAGGAACACCTACATTCGTGCCGGAGTTGCAGAGTGGAAGATTACCAATCCAGTTCATGTGGTATATTTCTTCTCTCTCTCTCTCTCTCTGTTATAGCTTGGCATGTAAAACTCATATACACTTTTTTCCTGCATCAAAGGAAGGGTACTGGTAAAATTTTGTATAAGGTTTATCTAAGGAGAATTTTGAAATAAAATGATTCAGGTTGTGACAATGCAAGCCAAACCACTGCCTTATTTTTCTTCCAGATTAATAATAGATTAGCAATTTAGACTCATAAGGTTAAACCAGGCACTGGGGTTGACAATTGAGTTTTTAAATTATTAAATATTTATTTATTTATTTTATTTTTATTTTTATTTTCATTAGCAAGAAACTCACACACCCATTTGTCCATACGGGAGTTGAACTCTTACCATCCCCTTTGAAAGGTAGAGGAAATACCACTAGGCCACACAACCTTAGGTAGTAAAACTTCTTTATTGACTAACTTAAAGTGGTCTTGCCTTCAAAAACTGAAAATATAATGTTGTCATATAATTAATCTTAACATTTGAGAAGCTTTGAAAATAAAATGTTTCTTCTTCTTTTTTGTTGTTGTCATGTATTTATTTTTTAGTCTCTTGGTGTGTTTTCTGAAGTTAAGGTATTTCATTAAATTCATGCTTCAGTTGAGCCATTCTACCATTGTTGCGTTGGACTGATTCTTTAATCACAGAACCTCACAGTAATAAGTGGGAAATGAGATTTTTTAAAAGGAATATGGATCATTTAATGGAAGGTGATCTTGAAAAATAGGTCAAGGCATGGTCTCATAAGGATTTCAGCATTGGTTGGTGGTGCTTGTTGCCTGGTTCTCATTGCTGCCATTGTTCTAAATTTGTCATCTGGTATTGCAGGTCTGCTACTTCAGATACATGAGATTTTATCCTGCTGGCAGGTTTCTTTACAAGGTTATATCCCTAAACTGCCTTAAGTGTGTACAAATTACTGAAAAATAAATATATTTTGTCGCTCTATCTGATCAATACATGTTTTCTGTTCATTTCCAATGGTTAGAATTCATCACAAAAAATAAAGGATGTGACGAAATCCATGAACTTTCGGGCAGCTAAAGTAGACTGTGTTAATAGTGGCCATTATACGTTGACTGATGACAAGGTCAGGTTTCATTTCTTTCCTGATTGCCAATTGTTCAAACTCTATGTTCTGCAAGATATGGGCTCCCTCTTGTTTCTGCTTCATTCCATTAATATTACAGAATCAAATGAAGCTGTTACGCTTCGAGTGTCATTTTCTATCCTGCAAAATTCTCACTTGATTTTTCTTCCTTTGATGCTAAGTTCATTTTCCTTCTGAAAGTAGTTATAGTTTCCCTCCCATTTGCAGGTTGAAGCTGCTTTCTTGTATCCTGGCTTGCGTCCTACTGCATGGAGAATCCGCTTAAGGTATTCAGTAGGCTGGTTGGGATGATTCTGTCATGTAATAGGTTGTTCTGATATTGCAATCTCTTTCCACATCCACCACCCACCTCTCTCAGTGATTACCATAATCCGGTAAAAGGATTATCAAGTCATAAAACAACTTAATATCTTCTTAACATTGACAATTTTCTTAATACTTGTGTAGCCCATGGGCCCTTTTTCTGGGTAAAAATTGACTGACTTTTTTTGGGTGTATTGCGTCAAACTTAATGATTGTTTCTTGTCAAAAAAAGAAAAAAAGGTTAATGATTGTTAGGAGTTTCCTACTCCTTTCTGGTTCAATATTTAGGTGAATGGACTATTGCCCTCGAGTATGAGCATTTTTAAATTGGTGAATGTTCCAGAAGTACTTTTTAAATTGTACAATGTATTAATATTTCATATGTATTTTACAAGCATGGCTGCCCCTTGATTGTCACAACTGAGGATCAGAAGTGTCAAGCAGCCTCTACCTGTGTTTTTTTTGTGTGTGTGTGTGTGCATTGGTGGATGTGTCATGGAGCCTCAATCTCTAAACATGGTGTGCTTAATATTATGTAGTGAGCAACTCTAATTGCACCACTAGTGGTATCTCCTATACCTCCCAATGGGGAAGGTGAGGGTTCGAGTCCCCGTAAGGACAAATGGGTGTGAGTTTCTTGCCAATGAAAAAAAAAAAAAAAAGAAAAAAAAAAAGGTAATTGTAAGGCAAGTCTTTTTAATTTTTCAGGTTAAGATGTCATTTTAATTTTTTATTGTATGATTTAGCAATCGTCCCATGGTGGATGCACTTCATTGGTGAACCAGACTATATTAGCATTTTCTTCTTTGTACAGGTTGAGGGGAACAACAGCAGGGGCTAACAATCGGATGGATCTACTTTCACTTGTTACAAGTGGTGTGGATGATAGTGAGGTTAACAGCCCTGATGAGGACATTCTTGGTGTTGTTGAAGGCTGGCAGGAGGACGAGACACACAACCCAGACGTGCCAGCTGTTTCACATAGGAGGGGTCTGACACCTTTTGTTTTTGTACCATTTGAAGAGGTACATTTTTTGTCTTCTCTTGATTTTGCTTCAAATTGGCAAATAGTGAATACATTCTTCATGTTTTATCAAAGAAGTTATGAATTGTGCTCTACATGGTAGTTAATCGTTTATTTTTTGAATAGTTGAATTCAATGTGGATGTGATGAACCTAAATTAGGTCATTATCCATTTTTAATCCCATCTATGCTGGGTGTTGGGAGGGGTGGATTCTCCACACGCAACGTATTCTTTTTGTACACGAAATGGCTGGCTTTCAAACTAAAATTTATTCTCTCATGTTTGGCAACCCTAGCTTTTACAACAAGCAAGTGTGTGAACCTAAAATATTTGATGAACATTGCCCCATTTATTAAGCGTTAATACATGAATCATCAATTCTGTCATTCCACTCTTTCTAGAGATCTAGATTAGGTTGAGTAAGATACTACCATGTCTTTTCTTACAATTTGCACCTAAGTTAATTTTGTTCTTCGTATTTCCAGAGCAGTATTGCCTATTGGAACCATGTGACTCTTCCTGATTCGTGCAATCATTGCACACAGCAAAACTATCTCAATCAAAATTTTCTCATTTTATGTCATACTTCTTTCCACGAATGTTTACATTTTTTATTTTATTTTATCATATCTTCTCTCACTACACATCTATTTATATATCCATATCTCCAACCTGCTCATTTTTACGAACATCTGTTTCTTGATCTCCTAGCTTTCTCTTCCATGTTTGACTAATCTAGTTACTATTTATTTTTTTGTATAGATTTTGTCTTTCAACTTTTTATTTACATGTCAATTGCACATTATGCCCTAAGAAATCATCCACTTAGCCCATCGTGCTTTAATTCTATCGTTAACATAATCTCTAGCTCTCCTTTCCTACGAATAATCAATCCTTAGTGACAAAACCCATCTACTCCTTCTCTAGAGTTTCGATCTTCAATGTCCCAATGTGATTCATATATTTAGTAAAATCCTATTGATTATAAGTACTCTAATTATAGAGCTCTTTGAACCTCTAATATAGTATTTTTGTCAGGTTAATTTGATCAATTAAAAAACATCATTAGCAAATACCAAATAGTATAACCCCAAAGGGTTGGCTCAAGTGGGTAAGTCACTTGGTCCTGGTGCCTCAAGAGGAATTAGGTCTAAGGTTTGAATACTATTGGGTGCAAACAATTCTTTGGAGAGGGAGTGTGTGAGTACCAACTAGAAAAAAATAATACCAAATAGTACGGAACTTCATCCTAAATGTATCTAGTCAATTCATCCATAACTAAGTAGTCAATTTGCTGAATCCTGTATTTATCAAAATACATAGAATGACAACTTATGTTTCTCATTTGCTAGCAACGGTAACTTTCCGCTATCTGATGTCTAACTTTAGTGAGAGAATATTTTATTTTATTTATTATTATTATTATTTTTTTGTGACGATGTTGGTGTCGGGCCTCTTAGAGCAACCATAATCCACCAATAGGTACATGTAGTCCCCCCGCCTCACATGCACTTGGCAAAAACCAGGAAATTTTCTGATTTGAGTTCCCAACCTCCAAGATGTGAGGTGAGATTTTTTGTCATTAGGCTATCCCCTTGGGGAAAATTTAGTGAGAGGTAGCACAAGCCTCAAGCATTCACGGAAGTAGGAAAAGGAATTCCATTTTTTTTTTTTTTTTTTTTCAAGAAATTTGGAATCCTCACTAGGTTTTGATGGTTTTGGTTCATGTTCTTTGTGGGTCCTGGTCACAACTCAGTGTTGGTTATGTGAGTCAATATCTTCTCTAACATACGAAGAGATAATATATATGTATATATATCTGTAATAATAAACTCAAAAGTTTACTTGTCAAAAAAAAAAAAAAAAAAAACAAAACAAAAACAAAAAAACTCAAAAGGTTCCATAAGAATTTTATGAAAAAATACTAACTGAAAAATGAATTATGTTAATGTTCTTTTATGAATGAATGAAACATAGTAAATGTATAGTTTATTACATATAGTGTGGTAAAAAACGTACTAGACACATCGAAGATTTTAATAAAATTTAATTTTTAAATATTTAGCATCAATTTGAAGTGTGAATTACACTTGTTTAACAGTAAACATTTTATTCCTTTTCAACAGAAGCTATGTTACTTGATATTTCAAGATGGGTGACATACATTACTTAAGTACATTTTGGACATCAGGACATGACAAGATCATAGTTGTTAAAGGCGTGCTTGTGCTCAAATATATGCACCAATTCATTAAGGCATATCTGAAGTACTTTCTTATGCTAGTCAATACCCTTCCAGCCAGTTGCATGTGAAACACTCAAATGTGTGCTTTTTGGTTAGTTTTAGGCTCAAGAAAAGGGCATCTATTTTTCACTAATTCTTCACTTAATTTTTTACACATTTAATCATCCTGGCTTATGTGGAGAAAAGGTTGGAGAGGTTGCGTAGGATTTTCTTATGGCAAGGTCTTGGAGAGAAAACAAGTATCACCTAGTTGGTGGAAGAAGGTTTGATCTTTATTTTAAGGGTGGGGCCCTTGATACCAGAAGCTCAGGCTATATAACCAACCTTTGCTTGGAATATGGCTGTGGAGGTTTGAGATAGGAAAGCTTTGTGGTGTAGAGTGGTGGATCAAAAGTATGATAACTCTTGGGGTGGGTGGGTGTCGAGAGAAGTAAATATGTAAGGCCCATGTGGTGGGTTGGGGAGAATTCTTTACCCTTGTTTATTTTGAATTGGTAGGAGCAATTTTGTGGTCGAATGGTAAAAGATTGGACTAACAAGCATGAGGATGCTTGTCAAGTATGAGAGTAGCCACTTTGTGCAAAATAATGCCAAAGTAGCCATGTCTCTGTTTAGTCAATCCATTGGACCATGTAGAGGTTTCTATAACCATCCTGATTTAGGTCACCTACGTATTAATGTATCAATGTTTTTTGTGGAAAGTTTTCTCATTCCATTGGCACTTCAGTGGGGTTAGGGCTTTATTTCCTGGTAGAGCACCTCTAAAACTCCCTTGGTGGAGTTTGTCTTCCATTCGATCTCATGTTCTTATATGTATGTAAAAGTTCTACAGTTGTGTATTTGATTTAATTGCCACTTGAAGCCACAGAGAGTTATAGATCACATTCTTCAAGCACAAATTTGATTTAATCGTCCTTACACACCTCATTTTAGTACGTATTATTTTCTTTGAGAATTCTTCTTTTCGATAAAGGGTCATTATCTGGTTCCACTAATCATGGGTGTTGGAGGGACAATTTGGATACAAACTTGAATCTTTGGCATTGTTTACATAAAGAAAGTAACTGCGCTCAGGATTCGAATATGTGTTCTCACGCTTGGGAGTCGAGTTTTTATTACCACTTCATTGAGCAGTGGCCGTAGATTTTATTTTTTATTTTTCTAATATCAATCATTAATGTACAATAGACATAATTACGAAACTTGTTTGAGACTGGCTAGAACAAGTCAGAACATACTGTTCTAATGCGAAAACAAAATCAAAGGACCAAGTTTCATTCCTTCTAATTGCTTGCATAGCCAATTTCCTCCTATTTAATGGATGCACCAGTGACTAGGACTGATGCATAGTTAATGTGAGCAAAGTTGAAGGAGGTAGACCAAAATTAATATGGATTGAGATAGTAAAAAAAAGATATGATAGCGCTTTGAGTTAACTAAAGTTATGGTCTTAAAAAGAGCAAAATGGTAAAATAAGAGTTGTTTCCCAAATAGTTGGAATAAGGTTTTGTTAAGTTGAATATTGATAAGTATTTTATTTTGTCATATTGATGTCATTGTGTAATACCGTTAGCCTGGGCAGTTAAACTCGAGTCTATTTTACAGGTTCGCCAACTGTCGGAGTTTGAGCATTTTCCCTAAATTTTACCCTGAGTATTGTAGTCAGGCAATATACCATGAAGTTGATGAGCATCAAAACCATGAAACAGTCAAAGTGTACTAATGTTAAATAAATTATTGAATATTTTTAATCTCATCTTAGGCAAAGATCTCTCAGTCTGCTAAGTGCAAGTTACCTGCTCTCCAAAGTACTTCTCTTACAAAGTTTTGGTTTTGGCTTTATATATGTATATATACATATGTATGTGTGTGTGTATAAATATATATATGGAGTAGATATTGGGTGAGCCGGGCATACCATGTCATTGGTATGCCCAACCAATCAACACCCACCATTTTAATTTGGTGAGAGCAATTTTGTATGTAAGTGATGACCACTTTTTGTGAATGGAGAATGTTGATTGGGTGGGCATCCCAATAACTTAGTATATCCGGCTCACCCAATATCTTCTCATATATATTGGGAAGAGGGCATTTCTTTTGACTCGCTTTCTGCTTTACTTTTGTATATTGTGAATAAGACTCTTGGAAGGGAAGGAAGAAAAATGAATGTTTCAACGAGTGTCAGACCAATTGCAGTTGTACTATTCCAGATCATATTATCCCCTCCCCAATTATTTCAGCAACTAAATGGATTTCAAGAGCGGCACAAGTACACTTTTATCCTAGGCTGTCTTTTACAATCTGACATTCAAAATTGAATTTTTTTTTTTTTGCTAAATGAGTTTCCAATTCCTCCATATACGTTGTTCACTTTTATCCTAGGCTATCTTTTACAATCTGACATTCAGGATTGATTTTTTCTTTTTTTCTTTGTGTTGCTGAATGAGTTTTAAATTCCTCCATATACATTGTTCACTGCTGTGTTGTTATTCCATTCCTAACATTTTATGTTCGTTCTTTGTGGTTTAGGCGGAAACATCAGTTCTGAATCTGCCTGTAGAGAGGATGGATTACTTCGTACCTGGGTGATATGGGGGACAAACACAGGATGCTTGATTTGTGAAAATGTAAATAAATCATTTCCAGCACTGTCATATGGTGGTCTGTAATTTTCCCCGGACTGACGTTTTTACCTAGTGGTTTAATATGCACTTGGATGCCAAGTTCTTGCCGAGGAACATAACTTGTGTGTTCTATATTGCTTTTGTTTCTGGCCTTTTCCTTGTGTAATATATCTCATGCTTGTAGTCAAATGACAAAAGTGTTGTCAGGTAATGCAGTTGTAACTATATTAATTGTGTATAAGTTCAGCAACTACTTTTAACAGAGTGGTGGCTATTGCAATACTATTATTTATGAGAAAGTATTGTTCAAAGAAAGATGGAGGCTAAAAAGATGTGCAAGAAGGCGGGAAACTATAAGCCATAAGAGGGGTACTAGAAAGAATTGTTCTCATACAACTATTTCCTCCTTATACTCCACTTGAACTAGACTGAAAAGCATTAACCAACATACTGTGAAATTCATTTCCTTTCCATCTCTGCAAGTGTGGCGAGATTTGTTCCGGAAGGTTAGGTTAGGTTAGGTAATCTCTCTCTCTCTCTCTCTCTCTCTATATATATATATATATCTATCTATCTATCTTATATAGTATATACCTTGTTTGAGTTATCTCTCATAGCCTTTCATAATTTTGATGGTGTTGATAGTATTTTGTGTTATAGAGGCTTAATTAGTTGTTTCATTTTCCTTTTATGGTACTTGCTGGGTTCATTCATGCTTTTGAGATTTTATTGTGTGTTTATAGAATACTACTAGCAGTAGCAGCTAAACCATGATGAAAAGAAGAATAATAAAAAAATTAACCTAGAGATGCAAAAAAGGAGCTGCAATAATGAACCAATTCAGAGTTCGGGGCGTTTGATCATAGTTCTTCAGATGCTCATCGTTGTCGATATTCTAGTAAGACGCACTGAAGAGGATTCTTATCTGAAAGTGCATTTCCAAAGCTTGGTGCAGTCCCTCAATTTGCCAAGGTTCACGATAATTCTTGGTATCAAAGCATTTTTCTTCTTGTCAAAAATTATATTTGTCAAGAAAGAAAGAAGGTAGTTCGGCTCATAATTCAGGTGGTAATACTTGAAGTTAGCAACTGCAGTGTTATGCAAAGTAACGCCAACAGAAGTTGAGTTAGCAACTGCAGTGTTATGCAAAGTAACGCCAACAGAAGTTGGGTCTGCTTTAGATTGAGCGAGTCCCACGAAACATATTGGAACAAATCAACCACGCGGGACAATGTTGCAAGAAATTTCAGAGAAAATGTCATGTAGACTTTATATTAATCAATTGATCATTGTGTAATAATAGAGTGTAAAAAGCATTAATTACATCAAAGAAAACTTGATAAAACAAGCAGGAGATCAACAAAAATGTCTATATTGTGTGCAGCAAAGTGAAAAGATTTCCATATCATTTTCGTGCTTCCCAGATCCCATCAAAATCATGAAGCATGGATGTAGATGAGAGGGTTGGGGAATTACTATTCATCAAATAAAAGCATACCTATTCATCATGACACCGCCAGTTTCATAAATCTGACCATCGAGAGTTTACCCCAGCAGTAAAAAAATTACATCTCAAAGGTAAACTGAAGCCGACATTAAACCTTGACTACTCCGGCATGACCTGCAAAAACATTGTTTCCAAAGAAGAGCATAAGACTCCTGTATTAAATAGTTTTCCCTAATACACCATGCTCTTGCACTAAAGCATTATATTTGCATTAATACACCAAAACCTTAGAAACTGACTAAACATATCAAATTAGAACTTAAGCACTTACATAGCAAACCGCCGTACTCCACAACCAGCATCCATTGAGACACAATTCATAGGCACTTACCATGTGCACATCGTGTGAGATATATTTTTGTAAATTGGTATATTTCGGTAACAAAACGAGTCCTAGTCGAGTTGTAATTTCAGTTACGATATTAGATTTGACATCGATTGCGGAATTTAGAGGTTGAACAGAAAGATGAAAGTACTGTTGATCATATAAAAGGAAAGAACAACACATTAGGACATCGTTTCCCACTTAGGACACAATTACCTACACGATATATGTTCAGAGTTACCAAAATACAGAAAATCCAAGTTTCAGTTGGATTCTGTCTAGTAGGAACCGGTAGGAGAAATGGGAACCAGTACCCAAAGTACGTCGGAAAGGCTTCTGACCTTCTTGAACCGGTAGCAAATTTGGGAACTGGTAGCAAGAGTCCTGACAGCATTAGAACTTTCAGTTTCCTGTTCTACTTGTTTCCTTTTTGATCCCAACTTCCTTCTAAGTCCTAAGCACGAAATTTCCTTTATTTTCAAGAGGAATAGGACTTTACAAACCTCGATATAAACCATGTCATATACATTGGTTTATTCACGGCTTTTGTTATACAGATTCATTATTTTTAAAAGTCTTAGGAAGTAAATCCCTCTCAGAAAATCAAAGTTGATTTTTCTGTTGTCTTCCTAGAACATACACATATTCACCTAGTTAGGTTGGAGTTGTGGAGTTCAAATCCTGATCGTGATCATATAGTAGTATCAACATTGATTAGACGAAGCAGATCTTCTTCTATATTATTCAGACGATTAAAGAGTAGAAGTAAACGCAATCACACTTTGGAAAGGTTGGAGCATTCACGGAGTGCTGTCTGATCTACCTGCTACTCTTCTACAAATATCAAGTGTAAGTCTGAGGTCAAGTTGCTATTGGACGGGGAGTCGCAAAGCCAGAGGATCGTTAGCTGTTGGTGTGGTGTAGAACGATAAGGTGTGAGACAGAGTCAAAGTTCGGTATACTTTGTTCCAAGCATAGTGGATTGGTTTACTTTGGACTGCACAGTCTATAAGGTTTTTCCCATAACAGTTGACGTATTTTATCAACTGGGGTTTCCTCGCTAATCCTGGTATCATCTCTAACTTTATACTTTGTATTATTTTATTTGCATGTGATTAACTGTTTAATTGTTAAACCATAAAATAAGCAAAGTTGTTAATGACACAGATCTGTTTTATAAAATCAACAAAAACTTTCAAAGTAATTTCCGCTGTGTTCGACTCACACATCACTCCAGGAAATCCACATCTTTTCACCGAAACAGATAAAGAGGTGTCTGGAAATCATAATGGAATCAATCAAATATGCATTATATGCGGGATCAGACGGAAAATCAAACCAAAAAGAAAACACAAGAAGATCAGCATAAATACAACAACATCTAACACACCTTAGATAGAAAATTCTGAGAATATAAGACATGTAACTGGATTTTAACCAGAGTTGGAACTCACAGGGTTTTGTTATATAACATTCTCAATATGAAGATGGAGAATATCTCATTCCTCCAAACTAGCAAATTTCCCATGTTACAGTGAACTCATGGGTTCATTTTATTGGTTTCACCTTTATCCCTTGCCTATGCTTATTATACCATCTTCAATTCTCCTACGCAATGCATTATCCAGCAAATCGGCCTCTTCTGTGGAGTTCAGCACATCTAGCACAAATTTATATGTATACACTCTTGGAATTGATCTATCATCAACCAATTAAACAAGAAAATCCCTTGTACAATGTGCTTACTCTATTCTTTCTATAGGATCATCACCACTAATTTAAATTTTATGTGTTTGGCTTCTCTTCAACCTATAAAATATGAAATCATATTAAGCCAGATGTTGTTAGTGGTTTGCACTTGCACTGACTTGAATTGCTATGTTTATGCAATAAAAAGAGAGATGGTAAAAGAATTCGGAATTAGATCCATGGCTTTGATTCTTACCGGCAAAGGCAGAGCTATCGACTCGTAGGCTTTTTTCACATAACATTCTTAAAATGATGATGGAGAATACCACATTCCTCTGAACTATCTAACTTCCCCATGTAACTATGGAATCTTGTGGTTCTTAACAGGTTTCACCTTCATCAATTGCCTATATCTATTCTTAATACCATCTTCAATTCTCCCATGCAGTTCATCATCCAGCAAATTGGCCTCTTCTGCACAGTTCAGCATATCACATAAAAACTTGTATGTATATTGTCTTGGAATTGATCCACCATCAACCAACTCAACAAGAAAATACCTCGCCTCTATGATCCTTCCTCCTTCACATAGGGCATGGATGACTAGGGTATAAGAACTTGTACTGGGTATCCCGTGATTCATCTTTTGCATCCTCCGCAACATTTCAACAGCTTTACCAATCTCGTTAACAGTGCTGTAATATCTAATGAAAGAATTATATGTAGCTCGATTTGGGAGACAACCCTTTTTGGTTATGTCATCAAAAAGTTCCAAAGCCCTTCCAATTCTTAGTTTTGCAACAACAATCAATCAAACAGTTGTAAGTTACAACATCAGGAACAAAACCCTTGAAGAGCATAATTCGAAACAAGTGATTTGCTTCCCACAACTTCCTCCTAATGGCCTTCCTGCACCCAGTTTGCAGGCTATGCTTACAATAAGAACTAATCAATATTATGAAGGTGAATGTATCAGGCGGGCATCTAAAACCCGGCAATTCCATTTGCCCAAGCAAAAACTTGGCTTTTCTAAAGTTTCTAACTCTACAAAGAGCATAAATAACCGTATTATAAGCATAAACATCTGGTTTGCAATGAAATTGCTTCATCCTGTAAAATGTAGCCAATGCTTCATTAACCAACCCCTCTTGTCCTAGAAATTTAATCAAACATGTAACGGTCGAGGTAGTCACAATTCCATCACTCTCTCTCCTTGCCATTTCATTCAGAAATTCCCAAAGGGCTTTCAATCTATTCCCTCTAACCAACACACAAGCCATCTCTCTGCAAGTCCTCTCACTATGTGTGAACCCAAATTAGGTCTCCACCCAATAGTAGAACTCCATTGCTTTGTCCAATCCTAACTCAACTTTCTGGGGGTCTCTGTAAGCAGGACGACCAAGAACAAGCACACCTTTGCCAGCTCTATTGGATTCTTCCCGCAGATTTCTCTGTTTAAGAGGCGCTCGGTGCCGGAAACCTTTTTGACGAGCAATGGATCTTATGGATTGGAAGAAGAATCTGGGTATCGATCTTAGAACCTCAGAAACAGCTTCAACAGTCATTGGTTGATGGGAAGTGAGAGTGGTGGTTGAAGAAGCAAGCTGAGCATCAAAGGGTTTACTTTGGCTCATAACGGCCACTACTTGGTTTACGAGGGAAGTGAGACGTTTTGATGAAATCATCGCTTGAGAGATGATTAATTGATTTGAACTTGTGA